TTTTTTGGTTGCAGCCGTCATTGTTGTTTGGCGGGTCCGGGCTGGGGATTTGAACCCGCCACCTTAGGTGTACGTGGCTGGCGCCTTAGCGGGTTAACAGATTTGAATCTAAGAAATCCCAGACCAAAGGTCTTGCTCTCCTTGAAGTTAAACAGCTCTGCTGGAAAGAGAGAAGAGTAGTTGAGTTGGGATCAGGAGCTCTCAGCCAGAATCGTCATTTCAATAGGGCTTGGGCCACCTCTTTGTTCCTCAGTCCCCTTAAAAGGATCCATGCTGAGGGCTAACTGTAGAAAAGGAGAGTGTGTGTGTGTGTGTGTGTGTATGGGGAGAAGCCATGCATTTCTAAAAACAAATGCGAGTGAAAAATCAGGCACAATCCCAACTGGCCTGCAAAGTCACTTAATTTGTCCGCATCCGGCTCTCGGAAATTCAAAACCCCCAAATTATATTCTTTGGTTCCTCTTTTTATTGTTAGCGTGTGGCCTGCCTTTCCTTGGGTTAGAGTGATGGAGAAATTTTGCCTAGATGGTGGGTGCACTTAAATTTGCAATGAATAAAATTTGTCCGATTATGACACCACCTCACTGCAGTTCCTTCGGATCCTTGCTTGTTAATCTAAAGTTGTTTCCAGTCGCCATGTGACCCCCTGACTTCCAAATTCCAGACAAATGCCAGGGCCTTCTATTGTCCTTCCAGCTGGATCCCACTCCCACTTCCCGGAGTTAAGCTCGCAGCCTCCCTGCCATTTTAAGTTGTGCCAAATCTAATTCAACTTCTCGCCAGCAGCCCTTTGACCCTCCACCCTTAGTCGCGCCCCAGGCTTGTTACAAGGTCCCCAGTCTGTGACTAATCACGCGCCCTCCTTGCCCGGTTGCACATCACCCCCAGAGGATGGTTAGGGTCGACTCGACTAGTGACTGCCACCCAGGAGCTAGTCAAAAAGACTAAGGGGCAGGCTTGAGCCAGAAACAGAGAGGGAAGGGCCGGGCTGGCCGTAGTGATAGGAATGAGGCCGCGATGGCTGCTCCCCGATACCCCCCGAAGTCCGGAAGCCCCCCGCCAGCTTCCCTCGGAACAGGCCGCCACGACTCACCAGCAAGTTGGTGCTACGATTATCTCCCTCCGCCATCGTCCCTGAGATGCCGTCTGAGCGAGCGTAAGCTAACCTCCAAATCCACCTGCTCGCCAAGAACTCACGGCGATCCCAGCGCGAGGGAACGCCCAGCAGGCCGCTTATATAGGCCGGCCGCCTTTCCCGACAACCTCCGCGAAGCTCGCTCCTTATTGGGCGGACGGAGTCCACGCTTAAGGGAAGCCAAACCAACCGATGCTCAGCGCATGGCTTGAAATGGAGGTCAAAGGACAGAAAGACCTGGCCAGTCGAGGGGGCGGGGACGGAGAGTGACCAATAAGCGCGCGGGGTTGCGCGACGCCCAGCCTGGGGCTTTCGGAAGCGGTTCAACTGTCGGTCGGGCTTGCTCAGGCCTAGCTGCCCAGGTAGTTTTCGTGCCCCTGTGGCTGGATCTTAAAGCAGCTGAGAAACCTCTCTGCACAATTGAGTACTGGAAAAATATGCTGCGCGCCACCAGGCGGAGGGCGGACAGGGGCATGTGACGCTTAGCTCCGCCGCGGCTGGAACCCAGATCGGTCACTCGTGAAAAGAGCTCTTTATGCCGATTTTACTGAGAGTTTCTCGTCTACCCAACGGGAATAAGGCCTTGCCAGCATAGTTTGTGAACGTGTGAAGAATGTATTATCGACTTGACTTACGTGGGGGTTTTAGGGAAAATTCTTTGTGCGCACTTCATTTACCTTATAGACCGTAAGCTCCCTTGTGGATTAGTTTTGACGTGAACTTTCTTGCATTACAGGTTATGAGAAGATGTAAACGCTTTAATAAGCAATGGAATTCATAAGCAATTTAGGAACTCCGTTCAGACATTTTTCTTTTCTATCCAGAATTTCATATACATTAACAAGTGATTTGATTTTAATTATTCAATACTAACAAAATCATGTCAAATGCTGGTCTGATGTTTGTTTCAGGTTAAATTAACTAGTTTTTAACTTAAAACCTTTTATCCCTTTGTATAGTTTTTAACTACGAGTCTTTCATCCTTTTGTAGTGATCTGTATTATAGCATTTAATTTTATTTTTTAAAGATTTCTTAATTACTAAGTCCTCAAAAAAGTTCAGACAGCTCATATAAAGAAATAGAGAACATAGCTACAACAGACCACATACTGCCTGCACGAAAATTGAGAAAGGGCAGGAACACTGAATTTCATGAAAAGGTGTCAAATTTGCCATAGATCTTTGCAGAGAGGAGGAAGCATCTGGACCAGGTACAAAACACTTGAGAAAATAAAAAGCCTTGCAAAGGCACGCAACTCTTCCATGAAGTGCCACATTTAGGAATGTTGTAGAAAAAATAGGTTGTGTAGGTAAGAATGCAGCTAGTTGGTACAGAGACCCCTCCACTTGGGGAGAAGTAGGAGGTTTAAAACTGGAGGTTGAGTAGCCTTCCTCCACCTCTTTAGAATAGGACAAAAGGATCTAAGCAATCAGCAGCCATATACTTAGTGAATACCCTGAGCGCTGGTGCACTTCCCAAAGACCGGCCATTGAGTCCTTATCAGGCTTCAAAAACTGACATGACATTTCTGCTTTGGGAAATCAACTTTTGCTACAAAATATGCTTCTGGTTTCCACTCAAGTTCCCTGTGTACAGAAGGCATAGTTTTTAACACCAGCTTGTGAAAGTAAGGTAGGTGAAAAATATTAACTAGAGTGGCAGTTTCTCCACAAAGTAGTTTTTCAAGAATGTGTTCCCAGATCAATCTCTAAATTCAGAGCCTAGGAGCACTGTTATAAAGTCTTTCACTAAATTTCCAATTGGCCTAGTTATTTAGAAACACCAACCCATAATGTAGCTTTCTTTAGAGCTTTGTTTTTGTCCTAGAAACACAGGATGTGATCTTTTGAAATGTGCTGCATGACTAAGCAGTTAACATAAATCCTCTTAACATAAACTAGCAGGAACAAATGCAGTTTTCAAGCTATTAAACCAAGCTGGACAGTTTCTATTTTCCATTAGACTTTCACATCCCAGAGAATGCATGTATCAATAATGGCCCGCAGAAACTTTGTTTTTAAATATTGCCAAAATTAAACTTAATAAATTGAGCCTTAATAAGGACTTTCCTATTGGAAGTAAAATTTCCACTGCTGTTCAAAAATACAATATCACCTTCTTGAGAATTAAGGTTTTTTTAATCAAAATATTTGAGGCATTAATTAGTACTTTAAAGGAAAAAAAAAAAGCTGCCTAGGTTCCAAACTAAGTGTTCTGAAATCTACTATGACCAATAAATTCAGAACTTCAATGCTATAGATTTTGAGACTGAACCTTTATTTTTTGAAAAACAGTACTTCATACAATCTTTGCCATATTAATGCAAATATGCACAAAGTTGGCATGTATTTTTGTTTTCCAAAAGATGCATTATGAACATTTTCAGGAAGCTGGTGTGATTTATTCAACTTTTAATCTTAAATACAATCACAAAATTATACCCATCGGGAGGCATTACCACCTTTTGTACAGAGAAGCCACTATACATGTTACTAGGACAAGGAAGATTCAGTTCAACGCAACTTGCTCTTACAATAAGGGTAAAAAGTAAATTAACAAGTGAAGTATGATGTTGCCACTGACATTACAGTTGGAAATAGAAGGGAAATTTAAACCAGAAAAATAACTGGCATAATAACTTCAAAGAGGAGCTGAAACTTCAACTGTTAGGAAAACTGTATTTAATCAGCCTGTTTTGAAAGAAAAACATTCTTAAAGTCTACATTTCAGAACAACATGCAATTTTTAAGTTTACCATGTTTAAAAATCGAGCTAATGGTATGACATTTTTAAATTAGCAAGACAAATAGCTTTTTCCTAGTAGCCCAGGCCAAATTCCCATGGAAAGCAAGGGACCCTAAGTGGTTCGCGTTCTACAATCCTTGAGTCGATAATCAAGAGTCAGTTTGCCCTTCCATTAACTAAGGTTGGTGAGGTTGTTATCCAGGCCTAAAAAAGCAGGAAAAGTACAACAAATCCTTAGGGTCTCATAATACAATGAATTTCCCCCTCCCCAACATTTGGAAAAATGTGAGATACTTGCTAGATTTTCCCAACAGAAGGAATCTTTCTAAATACTAACCAAATATTGAAAACAAAATCTACCACCTGTAAGTAACCCTTGCTTAATAATTCTACCTCCTTGATTTAAAGGGGGAAAAGTCCTAATTACTGGCATTTTACAAGCTCAAGAAGATATAAAAATGGAACATTGGTTTTCACACTCGTCTAATTTTATGTAAAACAAAGATGCTTAAATGTGCTAATACTAAAGCATTCATTGATATTTGATGTATGTGACTAACAGGCTAACTGTAGGTGCTTTCTTTAATATGAAAAGAACTGGGAGAAAAGAAGAACCAGCTCCTTTGATTTTAGTACTGCCAAAACAAACCCCCCCAGAGTAATTACAAAAATGTGGAGGAAAATAGGCCAAGGAAGACTTTTCAATTTAAAGTACTGCCTATAATACCCCAGGTTAAAAAGGACCTAAGATTGCACATCAACTCTAATATTTGGCTGTACTTGCATTGCCCTGTTCGGCATTTCTTAAATGGCTCTTTCCTTAAGTTTCACACATCAGAACAACCACAATTTATAAAACAAAACAAAAAACAATGCAGATAACACCAAACATTGGACAGTATTAAGAAAACTACTCATTAAGCTTAGATAATAGAGGCAAGCATTAAGGGCAGAAGTGATGAAAGTTTTTCTTTCTATTATAAGCCCTCACCCTGAACTTGGGTTTAGGCTCTAAAAAAACAATTCCAGACACAGATCAAGAGCCTGATTATCAGTTCTCACACAGAAATCTCACATGTCTCAAGAACAACTCACCACAAGTGTCAGACACAAAAGAATCTTAATCATCTAGCAGCCTATATTAAGAACTCAAGACCAAAATTAATGAGAAACTTAGGACACACCAAAGAAACAGTAAAAGAGAAATTAGCTCCCAAAATACTAAGCCTCCATAGCACAGCAGAGAAATCAACTAAAAATTAGGCAATTCTAGAAAATTCAAGGCAACAAAACACTGAAAATTAACTTCAATTTCCAAGAGTACTTTGAATAGAAGAGGTTGTTTGTAGGTTACTCTGTACCCCTTGAATCTTAGAAGAGAGGAGAGAGGAAGGGTGAGAAATAGGAGAGGATCCCTGGTTTTCCACAGGTATTTTGTGTCATTGAAAATGCATAACTTCTCATCTCAGCACTCTTAACTTTACATTATTTTACAAGATAATCCCTATAACATAGCCCAGTCTTCTCAATCTAACTGATGAGGTCTCTTTAAAAATGTTCAAAATGGCTGCTTTTACAGAACTTCCCAAAGGAAGCCAAACAGTACAGACTAGGATCTTGTCCAGAGTGCAGTCAAGAGCAAGACTGTGAAGCCATCAGTTACTCATATCTGCCTCACATGACCAAACATCCATTGTATATGCCAAGTTACTCTCTGAGGGACCATTTAAAGTAAAAGTGATGGATTAATTTACCAGAGGCACATGTTTTTGAAATAAAGCTGTTTTGCTTATGCTTAGATAAGGTGCCAGGTACCTCTGATGCCTCAAAATACAGGCAATAAAATTCCCCTATTTCAATCTTGTTTACCAAAGAGGAAGCAATTTCTGAATACTATCAGTTGTAACAAACTAATGTGAACTGGTTTTAGCATTGTGATAAGTTTTTCCTTGTTACAACAATAAAGAACGTTAAAAAGACTTTAATCTTGAGAGAGCAGAGGTAATTGATGAATATAATAGCTCCAAGAGCCTCTAGGAAATAAAGCAGTGTGCAAAATACAATATGGCATTATTATTCCAGCTAGGTTGTTTTGATTGTGAAGATAAGGTTCAAAACAAATGGAGAAAATAAACTTTGATGCGCTAGGTTCCTTAATTTGCTGATGGACACATGGTATTCAAAAATACCACCTTTCTTGCAATACTTCTTAAAGTATTAAGAAAGCACCGATACTGAAATGCATTCTCTCACAGGTACTTAAAGATTATAGATTAATGTGGCAATCAGAATACAGAAAAGGCCCAGAGCTATGTGGAATTT